AAATAAAAAAATAAAAAAAAAAAGATTTAAAAAAAAAAAAAAGGAGGGGAAAATATGCCAAGAGACAGGAATCAGTGGGGTCCACGTAGGGGCTGGCTGCATGTCTGATAGCCCTGTCCCTGGCACAAACCAGTCCCAGGAGTTGGCCTTTCACCTTTCTCGGTCTCTTATACCTTAGGTTCTGCTGAGAGTTTGCCTTTGTTTTGCGAATTCCTGAGAGGTGTGGCTGTCCCCCACTTTGCTAATGATGAAATGGGGTCTAGCTGGGGGTGAGTGCGGCAGGGAGCTGCTTGTGTGGTCTCAGGAAGCCCCCGCGAACACCTGGACGTTGGACCTGAGGTGCGAGGGTGCTTTTGAGCAGCGGTTTATCCTGGGGGCTTTGGGCTGAACGCATCCCCCCTTCCCACTCTGTTTCAGCGAGTCCGGAGCGGTGACTGGAAGGGGTACTCGGGCAAGCCCATCACGGACGTCATTAACATCGGCATTGGCGGCTCTGACCTGGTGAGGAGGACTCCCTGGGGATGGGGTGAGGGGGCCCACGCAGAGCCTTGGTTTTTCCAGGGTGAGACCTGGCTTCCCCATCTCTGTGGGCCCTGGAATCTTGTTTTCTGATGTGGTGGTTCCCCATAGGGACCCCTCATGGTGACTGAAGCCCTTAAGCCGTACTCTTCAGGAGGTCCCCGGGTTTGTTTTGTCTCCAACATCGATGGGACCCACATCACCAAAACTCTGGCCACTCTGAACCCTGAGTCGTCCCTGTTCATCATTGCCTCCAAGGTATGGGCCTTGGTCCTGGCCTGGCTCCCCAGCCCTGGGTGGGGGCGGTGCTGGGTGGATGCTTTGCCGCTATCCCCGGGCTCACTGTGCTTTGTGGATCGGGTCAGCCCCGCTGCCCTCAGACTGTTCTTGGCAGGTGGCAAACAAAGTTTCCTGATGGAAGCCTGAACTAGTCAGTTAGAACCTTCATTTTAAGACCACATCCATTTGCTTTCTGGGATCTGTGCCCAGGCTGGGACTGTTTTTGTCTTTCTGAGACCTCTGTGCTTAATGTCTGCTCCTTTCTGATTGCAGAGCCATGCCCAGATAACATAAGGGTTTTGTTTGTTGTCATTTACGCCCTGTTTACTCACATCGATGCACATAAAATATTAAGAATTCCATCTGAATTCTGAGATCACAGCCTAGCCTGGGCTGAAGGGAGCCCCAGGTGTGGCCACAGCCCCTTTCCTGGCAGATGCTCTGGCCTTTGACCTGTGGTGGAGGAATGGGGCTGCGGGTGGGGGTTGTGGCTTTTACTAGGATTCCTGTTCCTCTGCTTGTGAAGTCCTGGAATCCCAGGATGGTGGTATTACCCCTTCCAGGCCCGTGCCCAGACACAGCCACTCACTGTGGCTTTGTGGACAGGTGGGTGGAGGTTATGTGGGGTGACTGTCACTGCTCGTGGGCACCCCCATGGCCTCTGCCACTGGGCCCTGGCTTCTAGGCCACACTGAGCCCGAGCTGGGACCGACTGCTATACCTTCTGGCCGCAGACCTTTACCACCCAGGAGACCATCACGAATGCGGAGACGGCGAAGGAGTGGTTTCTCCTGTCGGCCAAGGACGTGAGTGCTGGGGTGGGTGGTGGGCAGTGCGTGTGCTGGGAAGGGCGCCCATCCACCTGAGTGGCCAAGCTAATGCTGTCGCCCTGTTTCTCCCAAAGTTGACAGCAGGAGGCAGCCTCTCTTGGTGCCTGCTTTTTCGTTTAGGCATTTGGCTTTGCCAGTCCCAGACATGTCAGATGTGCCAGAACCCGCTCAAAGTAGCTGAAGGCACTTCAAGGCCCCTTGGCCTGGGAGGATCCTCTCTACCCCCCTGCCACACCCACTTTACAGGGGAGGGACCCTGGGCCTTGTGTGCCTGGGAGGTAGGATGGGCCTCTGACTCTTCTGTCCTCTTGACCTTGACATGGGGCTCCTCTAATAACCTCAGAGCCAAGGACTGGGAATAATCAGTCCCACCCAGGGCCTCGGTTTCTCCAGAGATGGGAGGCTCACTACCCTTGGGTGGCCCCCTGGGATGGGTTTGGTGTAACCTGGCTCCGTCTCTTGTAGCCTTCTGCAGTTGCGAAGCACTTTGTTGCCCTGTCTACCAACACGGTAAGTGCCCACGTGGGTTCCCAGATGTCCTGGTCATGTCACGGTCATGGCCTATCAGAATATTCAAGTCGAGTTGTGGTTCGCAGGCCTGGGGATCTTGGCTCGGCTGATGGGATAGAAGGGTCGGTTGCCTGTGAGGGATGTGAGCTGCAAACCATCCCTTTTGCATCCTCCCATCAAATCTCTGTAGCTCCAAAGAGGGATCCGGTTGGCTGTGTCCACCTCCCAGGCCTGACTGATGTCCAGAACACACATATCCACACACATGACCTCCTTTGGCCTCTACCAGCCTGCCCTTGGCCTCTCCCCACATGGGATGTGTGGGGTAGGGGTGGGGGTGCATCCCATTTCTTACTTAAGGAGGTTAAGCCCCACTGAAGGATTTTTTGCCCGGTGACTGCATGAGTCAGTGGAGCTGGGAGGAGAACGCGGTCCCCTGCCTGCCATTTGTCCCGGTCTGCCTGGCCTGAGGCTGTGTGAGGTGTGGGGTGGGGTTGTGGGGCTGGGCGGAGCTGTGTGCCCGGGGTAACAAACCAGGTGAGCACTTGCTGTGTGGTGGGCTTTGTACAGGGCTGTGTCAGAACTGGAACCACTCTCAGGTTGTCCTGACCACTCCCTCCGCCCCTCCTCTGCCCCTCTTGTCCAACCCCCACCCCTGCCTCCAGTGCTGACCTGCCCAGGGAGGGGAGACAGGAGGACATCTTAAGGCGTCTCCTTAGGGACGGCATAAGGGGTCGCTGACCCTGTCTGCCCAGGGGACAGGGCACCCGCGGGGTAGGATTGGTTATCTCCTGAAGGCTTCCTGGGGCAGAGTCCATATCTCTGCTATTGGAAGGACTGGACAGGTGTCCTGGCTGGGTGACAGCTGGCCTGGGAGGTGGCCCCCGCTCTGCTCGGGCTCCAGCCTTGGGCTCAGTTTCCCACATGTCCTGCATGGGTCAGTGTCTGTACCCCGACAGGTCCAGGTGGTGGCTCTCGCAGGGCAGTGTGAGGGGCTTCACAGGCACCAGGCCGCGGGTGTTGCTGGATGGGAGCTGGCCTTGTGTCCAGTTCTGGGGGTGGCCGCTGCCGGTTCCTGCCCCGGACTGACAGGCCGCTCCAGTCCCACCCCGTCCGTCCGCAGCGTGGACAGCGTGACGCCTGGCACCCTGGAGCTCCTGTTGTCATCCAGCTAACGTAGGTTTTTTTCCTTTTCTCCCTTTGCCCCTTTTTAGACCAAAGTGAAGGAGTTTGGGATTGACCCTCAAAACATGTTCGAGTTCTGGGATGTAAGTAAAGGCACTTCCTTGCGCTGGGTGAATTATGTGTCCTGGGTCAAGGCATGACCACCGTGCCACAGATGAGGGGCCTGTGAGGTCAGGTCAACCTTTATTGAGCACCTGCTGCATGCCTGGCTTTGGGAAGGGCTGAGAGGCCCTCAGGGAGGCTTGTGGGGCAGGACCAGCCCCGTCGGGAGGAGGGCTCCACTTCCAGCAGGGCGAGCTGAGCTTGCAGGGCCAGGCCAACACTCCCCGGGGTGTCTGCCAGCAGCACCCCCGGGGGGGGGTAACTGGAGCCACCCCTCCCCCCTTCACTAAACTGAGGTTGTGAGTTACTCTCAGTGATGGCCTTTCTCCGAACTTGCAGCCGCAGTCTCTAAAGGCCACAGGGCAGGGTGAGGCAGGAGGTGCGACTGGGCAGGCCCAGTCAGGAGGTGTGGGAACAGCTGCAAGGTGGCAGAGAGGTGGCGCCAGGCCTGGGGCCTGCCTGGGTCCTTGTCAGGCAGCTTGCAGAGCAAACCGTGCCTGAGAGGCCGAGCTGGGGCCAGTCTGGCGGGGCGGGGGGGGCGGCGGCGGGGGGTCGTCATAGACTCATCTCTGCAACAGCCACGGCTGGTGTCAGGCAGCGAGCGGGACCTTGCCTTGCGGCTGGCCCTGGGAGAGGGGCTCCGGCTGTGGGATGCAGGGTGCAGTGTGGGTGCTGGGAACGCAGGGGGCGCTGTTCTAACACGTGACTGGGGCAGGCGCACCAGGGAGGCCATTGTCCAGTTGGGGGTTTTCCCACTGGGGCTGTTTCCAGGCCTTTAGACCGGAAGCTCTTTGCTTGGTGGCAGCATCCGCAGATGGAATCTCCTTTGAAAACTCTAAAGGCCTTGGAGTCTGGGAGAACATTAAGCCCTAAATGTTCTGAGGCAACTGTTGTGTGTAATGAGTTAACTTCTTTCTAGAATGGGACTAATTATGTACCATCCTTGGAAGAATCGAGAAGTCACTCAAATCACTTTCTGCATCCTGTGGCTCAGATGAGGAACCCCGGTCGAGAGAGATCGGGCAGCTTCTGACAAATGTTGCATGTCTAATAAAGTAGGGGAGGCACCTGCTACCTCTTCTCTGGGATCTGGAGCCTCAACAGGTGGTGGTCAGGAACAAGAGGGTCTCCTGCTAGCCAAAACCCTGTGTGGGGTTTTCTCACTGCCCATAACTGCCCAGCATGTAGAGGTGATGGGGAAGGGGGCGGCTTAGGGCGAGGCCCGGGCCTCTCAGGTAAGGCCTGGGAATGACAGTTGGGCACATGAATGTGGGGCTGGGGCTGGATAGTGAGGCCTGAGTGGCCGAGGTGGGCACAATGAAGGCCTCCTGGGCCAGGCCAGACAAACTACATACACAGTGGCTGGAAGAGGGTCCTGCCCGGGTCGCTAAGTATGTATATTGTTTTGAATCAAGAAGGTGACATCTGAGGAGCCTGGGACAGGTGAAATTTCTGGAGCTAGTATCTCTTAGGTGAGATGGAGGGTCAGGACAGACATAGGGATATTGTGCTGGCTCTGAGGTAAGATCAGAAGAGGCCAGTCTGGTAGGGGGACATACAAGTGGTGAGGCCTGGTTAGTTAGAGTCAGTCATGGGGTAGCTTCGTGTCAGGATCAGGCAGTAATAATAATTTAGTAGTAAATTGTGGGGTTTCTCAGGGCTCAGCCAGAGTTAGCACACATTGGAGAGCTGACTTTGGCTGGTGGGGTCTGAAGACGAGCCAGGATAGGTACAGGTGAGTTCTGAGGAGCCAGAACAGGTAAAGGTACTGATGAGGTCTATGAATTCTGGAGGACACAGGTATTTCAAGATGATTCTATCACATAAGGTCTGGGGAGCCAGAGTCACATACAGGTACTTTAACCTGGATCTGTGAGTTGAAGTCCCTGGCATGGGACGGGTGTATACACTGGGGTCTGTCCAACTGGTTCTGCAAAGTGAGTGTCAGGTAATGGGTGTCTGATTATTTAAATGAGGTGATTAAAACTCAGATTTAGGCAAACCTAGATAGTCCCCCCGAGTCACGTCAGCTACCTGGCTCTTGGCATCCTGACCAGGTGTGATATGCAGAGTTCAGGGGTTGCAGAGGCCTTTGAGGACCTACAACCAGCCCAAGGTTCTGGCACTGGGTTCTGGCGGGGTGGGACTCAAGGGGCCCAGATGAGTAAAAGGTAGGAATACACTGAGTTATAAAAGGTAAGAACTGGGGAGTTGGGGGCAGGTGAAGAACAGACAGGAACTACATTGGTAAGGTGTAGTCCGAGAGGCTTGTGGTAGATAAAGACCTAGAGAACCACGTCTACAGGGTGAGATGTCTGAGGCCCAAGTCTCTCAGGCACCAAGGGGCTCTCACCAGTTTTCCCTCAGGCTGAGGTAAGCAGCCAGGAGCAGTCTGGTCTGAGGGAGGTGTCCGTTCAAGTTAGGTTTGTACAGTGGAGTCTGCCGGGGGGGCAGGGCGGGGGCTGCAGAACCTCATCCGTCTGAGGTCACAGGAGCTGGAATCAGACAAGGTCTATATAACTAGGTTTCTTAGGGAGGCCTGAGGAGCCAAGATGAGGTACGTATAGGTAGAAATGGGTTGCTCAGGTAAGGATACTGGAGCCGAAGAAGGGCAGACATAGCTGAGTCTGACAAGTGAGGACTAGAAATCCATGATTGGGTCCAGGTGAGAACTGTGCCCTCAGGTGATATCTAGCAGTTCTGGTGATGCGTAGGTTGATGATCCTGGACGTGGTCCTGGGTCCTCTGGGGAAAGACAAAAGCTAGAGTCAGGCAGAGGGATGGGGAACTGCATGCATCCGAAAGGTGTATGAGTTCTGGGTCTAGCTCAGGTACGTAGAACAGGTTTGTCAGGTGGGGCTTGAGAGGGGAGGTGAGATTCAGGTTTGTACTTTTGGATCTCGAATAGGTAAGGTCTGAATTGCTGAGGTCGGGCCCTGGTTTGTATTCTGAACCTGAGGAGTTGGGGCCAAGCGTAGGTGGGTAGAGCTGAGTTTTTCAGGTAACATCTGTGAAACCAAGGATGAGCAGAGGTAGGTTGACCTGAAGAACCATGGTTAGGTTCACTTAATTCTGTCTTGCCACTGAGTTTAGGTATAGGTAGGTAGACCAGATCTATCAGGTAAGGCCTAAGGAGGCCATGTAAGGTTTATCTAGAAAGAACGCTATGTCTTAGATGATTTCTGAGGTAATGAAGTGACATCAGGAAGGTAGGGCTTGGTCTCTCAGGTGAGAGCTCAGGAGCCAGGATTGAGTGCAAGTGCCTAGATCTGGATCTCCTAGGTTAAGGTCAAGGTAGGCAGACAGAATTGCACCTGTAGCTTTGCCTATCTTGTAGAGCTGTCTTGCAAGGCTGACGAGTTGTGGTCAGGTACAGATACGTGGAATTGAGTTTCTCAGGTAAGGTCTACGGAGTTTGTATCTGGCACGGGTTTGTATCCTTGGTGCTGTCCATATGAGTTAAGCACAGGTGCGTACAGCAGGGTTTGTCAGGTAAACTCTATGCCAAGATCAGGGCAGGTTCATAATATTTGGTCTGTCCAGTGAGATCTAAAAAGTCACAGTTGAGTCCAGGTAAGAGCCAAATGTCTTAGATGTAAGCAACTGAGAGGAGGTACAGGTAAGCAGAGCTAGCCCACTACGTAGTGTCAGGAGCCACGAGCAAGCACAGGTAGGTAGATCTGGCCTGGCAGGTGAGGTCTAAGGACCCAGGGTCCAGCACAGGTAGGCAGAACTGGCCCACCAGGTGAGGTCTGAGGAACCAGGATCAAGCATAGGCAGGTAGAGCTGGCCCGCCAGGTGAGGTCTGAAGAACCAAGGTCAAGCACAGGTAGGTAGAACTGGCCCGCCAGGTAAGGTCTGAAGAACCAAGGTCAAGCACAGGTAGGTAGAACTGGCCCACCAGGTATGGTCTGAGGAGCTAGGGTCAAGCATAGGTAGGTAGAAGTGGCTCACCAGGTAAGGTCTGAAGAGCCAAGGTCAAGCACGGGTAGGTAGAACTGGCCTGCCAGGTAAGGTCTGAGGAGCCAGGGTCAAGCACAGGTAGGTAGAACTGGTCCACCAGATGAGTTCTGAGGAGCTGGAGTCAAGCACAGGTAGGTAGAACGGGCCCACCAGGTACGGTCTGAGGAGCTAGGGTCAAGCACAGGTAGGTAGAACTGGC